GGAACCCCAGACCTGGAACCACGACGCATCGCCAACCTTCCCCGTCCAACGAAGTGTAGGCGAGGTCTCTGGCAAGGAGACACGGGGCCAGAGGTTGAGCTCATGCGCCGCGTACCGGACCGCAAACGGCCACAGAAAATGGGGAGCAGCCGCATGGATCATGGAGGTACGAGCGACCTCCATGACTAAGCCAATGCGGCGCTCAGCAATCCCATTTTGCTGCGGAGAGGCCGGAAGCGTGTACGTCTGGTGAATGCCCTCCTCCTCAAGAAGGACCCAAAGAGGCTAGAGGAGAACTCACCACCCCTGTCAGAGTGCAGACGCAGGACAGGAAGGTCCGTGCAGAACCACTCGCGTAGCTGGAGACGAACGGCTCGGATCCAACGGATCAAAACAATAGGGACCTCACCCTTGCTGCGCAAGGGGAAGACCGTGGTGTAACGCGAGTAGTCGTCGACAACCAGCAGAAAGTATCGCTCGCGGCCCTGTCCCTGGACGCCGCTTAGAGGCTTGTATCGGGCCTGTACACACTGCACGTTGAGTCTGCACATTTCGTTGGGTCCCGTCAAATAGCTGCGTCGTGCTCGTGTCAGTCACTCACGCACCCATCCCTCCTTTGGCGCCACCATCTTAGTCACCCCTCCCTGCAGAGTCTGCGTCGCGTGCACTCGCGTTTTCTTGTCTCGGGCCTTCCAAGGTCCCTGCCCCCGCTCCCTACGTCGCTTGCGCCGCCGTGCACTCCCTGCGTTGAGGGGCGGCAGCGCGCCGCTCCTCACTCCTCCTCGTTCCCTCCGACAGAGGCTCCTCTGCAGACCCTGCAAATGGACGTGTGGCGCCCTGCCCCCGTCCCTGGGCCGGGCCGGGAGTGCTACGTCCTGCTGGTCGTCGACGACTACACGCGCTACACCACGGTGTTTCCCTTCCGGAGCAAGGGCTGGCCAGGTCTTGTTTTGATCCCTTGGATCTGCGTTGTTCGACGCCAGGTGCACGCTCGGTTCCATTAGAACCTCCCAGTACTCTGTCTACACTCTGACCATGGAGGTGAGTTTTCCTCGTGAGGAGGGCATCACCCAGTCGTTCACGCTTCCAACTTCTCCGTAGCAGAATGGAATTGCTAAGCACCGCATTGGCGTAGTCAACTCATCGTAGCCTATCTTTTCAACATAAGTTACTACTATGAAATTCTCAGTATCCTCGCGTCCTGCTCCCTCAGATGTGTCTCAGGTCATACCACCCCCTTTGGTTGAGCCTTTGGAGGTCTCCTCTGGCCCGGCTGAGGGGGGTGACTCTGCTACTGACGACACTGCGGCCTCTCGCCGCTCCCCGCGCTTGGAGACCCCTCCTGGTTTTCCGCCTCGGCCGTCTTCGCCGCCTCTGCTGCCTGCCGCCGTGGACTCCGGTGCTACTGGAGGTGGTGGCGCTGGAGGTGTGGGCTCTGAGGGTGCTGACGCTGGTGGTATTGGTTCTGGTGGTACTGGTTTTGGGGGTGCTGAACATGGGGGTGCTGAGCCTGGGGGTGCTGAGCCTGGGGGTGCTGCACCTGGAGGTGGGCAACAGCTGCCGTCGCATCCGCAGGAGACTCTCTCGCCGCAGCAGCTGCGTGAGTGGGTAGTCAGATGTCGTGCTGACAATGGAGGTGCTGGATCTAGGGGTGCTAAGCCTGGGAGTGCTGACTCTGTGGGTGCTGAGCGTGGGGGTGGACAGCCACTGCCGTTGCGTCCGCCGAAGACTCTCTCGTTGAAGTAGCTACGTAAGTGGGTAGTCGAACGCTGTGTTGAATCCGCAGGTGTTGGTTTTGGGTGTGCTAAGGGTAGGGGTGCTGCCACTGGAGGAACTGAGCAGGCAGTCGCTGACTCTGGAGCTGGAGGCTTTGGAGGTACTGGAGCAGGAGGTGCTGAGGCTGCTGGTGCTGGAGGTACTGGAGCTGGAGGCACACGACCTGGAGATACAGGAGCTAAAAGGTGCTGGGGGTTCAGGTACTAGAGGTATTTGGGTTGGGATAGCTGGCCCTGGAGGTGCTGGAACTGGAGGCACTACTGCTGGTGGTGCTGGAGGTTTTGGGGCTGGGGATACTAGAGGTTCTACTGCTAGGGGTGCTACGCAGCCTGTGCGGCGGCGACCGTTCTTCTGGCCTCAGCCGGAGTCGTCGCTACCACCACCTGGCTCGGGGCTTCGCCTGGTTCTCAGTCTTTTGTCTTCCACTGGCCTTACTCCTCCCCTATCTACTCTGTCCTTCGCCTGACGAGTCACAACCACAGTTATAGCTTGACTCCCCACTGCCTGCTCCTTCTCCTTACACTGAGTAGACAAACTCTCTAACAGAGCGTCGTGAGCCTGCGTCACGTCTTAACTCCCCTCTTCGCACTGTTCGTCGGGCTCGTCGTGTTCGTCCTCCGCCTGTTCGCGGCACACACACTATGGTACTTCGTCCTTCCTCTATTACACAACATTTTGCCGTTCCGTCTCCCCCAACGTCCTCTCTTCCCGACGTTCCTGACCTTGAGTCTGGCCTTGTTCGTGCTGCTAGTCCTACTGCCACATGTGTTCTAGCCACACTTGTCACTGACCCTGATTTTGATTCTGCTGTTGCGTCTGCCTTAGTCACTGAGCTCGTTGACTTTGCTGCTGCCTGTCGTCTCGACTACGCCGCTAGTCTTGTTGCTAAGTCTGAGTCTGTCTGTCCTCCGTCCGTCGGGGGTGAGTGTGCCCTTGGCACGGACGTCCTTGAGGACGGGCAGTTTGAGCTCGAGTGTGTTGCGGCTGCTGTACCTCATCTCGCTGCCATGCTGCTTGCCCCTGAGGGAGACCCGGATGCACTAGACATCCCAACCCCGCGCTCTTACGCAGAGGCGATTGCAGGGCCTTACTCCTCTCAGTGGCAAACAGCCATGGACGCACAGATGGCATCCTGGAAGTCCACAGGCACTTACGTCGACGCAGTTCCCCCACCTGGGGCGAACATAGTCGATGGCATGTGGATTTTCAGGGTGAAGCGGCCGCCGTGTTCTCCGCCTGTCTTCAAGGCGCGTTACGTTGCACGAGGCTTTAGTCAGCGACAGGGGGTCGACTTCTTCCAGACCTTCTCCCCTACCCCAAAGATGACCACTCTTTGGGTGCTGCTGCACATTGCAGCACAGCGTGACTACGAGCTCCACTCGCTTGACTTCAGCACAACTTTCTTGCAGGGCAGCCTACACGAGGAGATCTGGCTGTGCCGCCCACCTAGCTTCACTGGGTCGTTTCCTGCAGGTACCCAGTGGAGCCTCCGGCGGCCAGTCTATGGTCTCCGCCAGGCACCACGCAAGTGGCACGACACACTGAGGACGACGCTTGCGGCTCTTGGGTTTGCTCCTTCGACTGCTGACCTGTCGTTGTTGCTACACGTCGACACTTCTCTGCCGCCGTTCTACATCCTCGTGTACGTCGACGACTTGGTCTTTGCTACTACTGACACTGAGGCACTCGCCCTTGTGAAGTCGGAGCTGCAGAAGAGACACACTTGCACTGACCTGGGTGAGCTGCGCAGCTATCTTGGCTTGCAGATCACCCGGGACAGAGGAAGGCGCACCATCACTCGGACTCAGTCACACATAGTGCACCAGGTCCTTCAGCGGTTCGGCTTTCGGTTCTCCTCGCCACAGCCCACCACCTCTGCCTACGAGCCACTTGTTCTCAGCTCCACCTTCGGACGAGTTCGTAGAGCTAACTAGTCCGTTGTGGGTTGCCTCATGTACCTGATAACTTGTACTCGACCTGACCTCGCGTACCCTCTCAGCATCCTGGCCCGTTTTGTTGCTCTTGGTAGACACCGGAAGGAGCATTGGACAGCTGCGCAGAGGGTACTGCGTTACTTGTGCAGTACATCAGGCATGGGGCTTGTGCTTGGAGGACGGGGTCCAGTTGTGCTCATTGGGCACTCAAACACTTCTTGGGCAGACGACCAGGCGACTCTAGGTCGTCACAGGGTTACACTTTCAGTCTCGTCACTGGTTTTGTCTCCTGGAGGTCCACCCGCTCGTCTTCTGTTCTCAGCTCCAGTTGTGAGGCTGAGATCTATGCAGGGGCCATGGCTGCACAGGAGTTATGCTGGCTGACCTACTTGCTGATCGACTTGGGTGAGAGGCCTCGTTCTCTTGCGGTCCTGTACGTCGACAACAAGGCCATGATTGCCTTGTGTTGGGAGCAGAAATTGGAGCACAGAACGAAGCACATCGCTCTGCGTTACTTCCTCGCTCGAGAGTTGCAGCAGCGTGGTCAGTTTCGTCTTGCTTACGTGGCCTCACAGGCCAACACAGGTGATATCTTCACCAAGGCCCTAGGTTTTGGTGATCATCAGCGTTTCTGTACTGCTCTGGGTCTTGTGCCTACTCTGCCTCACATGCTTACCTTTTGAATTTGCCGTGTGCTGTGATCTATATATTTGCCCGTATGCTTGTTTTTTGTTAGGCTGTGATCACTGTACTGCATGTGAACTGGCCTTGTGGCCATTTACTTGTGCTCGGATTGTGTGGTGACTTTCTGATCCACCCTGAGTTTGCATTGTTGCTTCTCGTAACTGGTCTTGTGACCGCTTGGTGTTCGTGCAGTCCCCCACTTAGCCTATCGGGGTGTGTCAAACATTATACATATTTGTAGGCTACATTGGGGTACTCACTAGAGTGTAACATTTTAGGGTTTCTACTTGTACTTTCCATTGCCTTAGTCAACTCATCATAGCCTTTCTTCTCAACATAAGTTGCTACTCTGAAATTCTCAGCATCCAAAAACATGTAAGTCTGAAGCAGGGCTGACGTTTCATTATGGGCCTCCCTGATTCCGGGGAAAATTTCCCCCCTGAATTATGAGGGCACATTTTTAACAGGTTTGCTACTTTGATAGCACAATGTCCACCAAAGTCTTACTTCGATTCTTCAGGGTTCACAACATGAAATCAGGGTTGGTTTAAGATTTGCTACGCTTTACACAACTTCATACATCATGCTGGAACTTTCCTACTCTATCTAGTGCACGGGCTTGTCGATGTGGTACACCTCCTCCACATCCTCATCGTCCGACATAAAGGGGTTGTCCTCCTCCTCCTCCTCCCCCACGAGCTCCTGATCGTCGCCCAGGTCACGTTCCACTTCATCCTCCTCCTCCTCCTCCTCCTCCTCCTCCTCCTCCTCCTCCTCCTCCTCCTCCTCCTCCTCCTCCTCCTCCTCCTCCTCCTCCTCCTCTCCCTCATCCTCGTTCTGCTCGGCAGTTCCAGGAGCCTCGTCTTCACCCTCCTTCTGCTTCCCCTTACTATCTCTCTCTGCCACAGCCAGCTTCAAGCTCTTCGCAGGGCGCCTCCTCCGCATTGACCTCCAGACCTCCAGTGCTTCCGGCCAGTTGATGTCATACACCAGGAGGGAGATCTGCACCAGCTCACACAGTCGCGCATTGCAGAGCGCTCCTCGCACCCACGACTTGATGACGTTTTGCGTGGAGAAACCCCTCTCGCACTCTATGGTTGAGAGGGGGAGTACAGTGAGCGCCTGCCACAGAAGGATTAGGTTGGGCCATCTCCTGCCAGGTACATTCAAGCACACAACAAGAAGAAACGTTAATGACATGCACACTAACACTCAAAAACATCGGTGGCCCGAGCAGATCGTTACCTTTTGGAGTCTGCGCTCCCGAGAAAGTTGGTCAGCCCCTGCGAGAAGCTCTCCAGCTCGTGGTGCGTCTCCATGATCGCACAGAAAGTCGGAAGCTCCCTCTCTGCTGCCTTGAGGTCGAACCCCGGCAGCTTGTTGTGGAAAAGCTTGCTGCATCCCAGCAGCCACTCACGGCACTTCTTCTCTCGTTGAGCTTGATCTTCAGCCACTTTCCCGCCCGAAACAGCTTTGTCGGCCCCAGCTTCCCCAGATCATCCAGACGCTCGTTGAGGTTGTCTACGCAATCGCGGGCGAACCTGCGGCACAGCTTCACGCACTCGACGTAGTTGCTTCCCTGCTTGTGCCACGGGAGCTTCCTCTCGTGTATGGTGTAGTGGTGGTTGATTGGGCGTCCCTTCTCGTCCACGCCTCGCACTCGGACCTTCGTGCCTCCGCCTTCCCCGTGAAGCTTGAGAAAGCCGACCAGCCAGCTTTTGCCCTTGCCTCCAAACTGCTTGTCGTTCGTCAAGTACTGCTCTGTCAGATCCCCCGTGGTGGACTCAATGGTCTTGGCAATCTCCGTCACATCCAGCTGTCACATTGCAGACATTGAGAACAGGTTATACGATTAGCATCAGTATACGATACTTTGAACAAACACAGGCCAACTCACAGTAGGAAGAAAACTTACATCGCGCCTCTGGAAGCAACGGTTGAGGTCGTTCATGTCGGCGAGGATGTCAGCGAGGAAGAACAGGCAGAGAACTTGTAGCACGTCACACTCTCGTACACCTTGTGGCTGTGCTCCTAGAGCAGAACGATGCAAGCGCCCAGGACCTTGCACAGTCGGCGAACCGCATCCCCTCGTGACAGCCACCGAACCGTATGGGTCTCCTAGACTTCAATGTTTGTGTTGTAGATCACTCGCTACAGGTACTTGAAGCGCTGACTCCAAACGCTTGAGTTTCCAAGCAATGCCTCCACAGTGCGCACCACCTTGTCGACCATCCTAAGGTCCGAATTTGACGTCGCAGCGTCCTTCACAGCCAGAGCCTCTCTGTAGGACGCAGGGGACATAACACAACATGTGTGATTGAAACAAGAGACACGTCTATCGATTCAAAATGACTTGCAAACTCACCAGTGGGCGATGCAGCGACTGGAAAAGAGATGCGGAACGTGTTTCCAAGCCGTGCCACCAATCCGTTATCCTTCCCCAGCATGACCGACGCCCCGTCCATGCTGATGCCCACGATCTTGGACACATCAACGGCCGAGGAGCGGAGATAATTCAATAGCACCTCGAACGAGACCCTGCATCACACCTCTCAACTGTCAAAAAGGTGAAAAACTCGCATGCGACTTGGCGATTCTTTAAAAAGGTCAGGTAAACAACAGTAGCACTTCCACGACCCTGCGAGAATGAACGAACGAAATAAAAATAACAACAGCACTTCCACGACCCTGGCTGGGGGTAGGGGGAAGCAAGAGATGGTTGAAGATGATGGGGTCAGCAAGAAACCTCCGTGTCACCATGCCACGAAATCGATGGCTCGAGTCATCAATGAATTCGTGCCTTCATGCAAAGCCGAATACATTTAAGGACTGCCCGAATGCCAGTGCCGACTGTCAAGATGCCTCTCTGGCCGATAAAGGAGACATGCTATGCATTGCACGGTGCGCGTGGCAGCAAACCATCATGGGCCTGGTTGCGCTATCAAAGTTGATAGCTCTACTGTGCAGCGGTGCTGTACAGCATGATGTTGTGTTACTTGTCGATATTACGTCAGTCTTGCGCGGGAAAGGGTGCAATCGAAATCATGATTACGCACATGGGGGGTTATCGGGATGAAGCTTCCTTGAACCTTTGTCCCGATACCGTTGCATTCAGGGTCCACAAGACGCATACTCTGCATGGGCAGAGTCAATAAGAACATTACTATGAGCGTTTATACAAAATTTCAGGGTTCCTTAAAGCATTATTCTGAATGGATCAGTGTTCATAAGTCGTAAATTCTGAAATAGCAGGGACCACAAGGTGACAAGTCTGTAATCACCCTGAAATCAGGGTAATTACCCTGATAAAATCAGCCCTGGTCTGAAGTACGCATGTTTGAAAATCTTACAAGTTTGAAAACTCAAGATCCATGGAAATTACCCTGAAATTTCAGAAAATCAGACTATTTTAGTCTGATAAAGTCAGCCCTTGGAATGCAAGAAAGTTAGAGTGTCACGTGGCACTTGGAAATCTTGGATGAAGGTAAGTGGGATGGGGTTGGGGTATTGTTTAGGGTAAACCACCCTTCAACAGTGAACTACCCCGTAACAATAATATAGTTTTTTTTAAGTGTTTTTTGAAAGTGTATATCACGTTGTAGAAATGTATCTCTTCAAATCGAAGTTGCTTGTGATGCAGCAACGTCAACTGCATAACAGATCTTAGTGTTGTAATTCAACACCTCCACCCACGTCTTCCTTTTGAAATTTCAAAGGCTTTACACCCAACCCTACCAGAATTGCATGTTATACGGTATTAGTTGGACGAGTATGTTGTAATAGCCATTTAAAACGAAGCACGTTGTCATTGAAAATACCGTGTTCTCCCAGACATAACACCCTAGGGTATAGCTAAAAATACAGGAAAAAAAGTGGGGTGTCTTTTTATATGAAAAAGCTACACAATACCCGGGTGCATATATATGGTATATTTTAGCTTAGTGTAAGAGTTTTTTTTGTTACACAAGTTGAGTGTTTCCATGGGCGTTTTAACATCACATGTTGAGGCGCGAATGTGAGTTTCGACGAGAATGTCATCACCCCCTCAAAAATGCCATTTGGCACCTCTTTGGCCACCTGCAGCGGAAGATTCGCCAGCACGTGGCGACAGCGAAACAGTGGTGTCAAACTATAATGATGTTTGTGCTGTGCAGGCTCTAGTGGGGTAGCCCATAAGGGGTACAACCCAAATTAGGGTTAGCATTTGTACCCACTTCTCTGCTCAATGCATCCGTTCTCGCTTAGATTTTTTACATGGTTTCAGACCAGGTCCTGTTCCAAGACCGTTTTTTTTTAGGGCCCACCATACAGTTCCCTGCCCATCGCGCTGCCCCACCAGTCGCGCTGCCCTGCTAACCCGCGTGCCGCCTTGCTGGCTGCCGCGCTGCCTTGCCCTGCCCTGCGTTGCGCTGCCTAGCGCGCGCTCTACCCTGCCCTGCGTTGTGTCGCCCCGCGCACGCCCTGCCCCGCGTTGCACTGCCTGCGAACGCCCTACCTTGCGATGCGCCGCCCGTGCGCCCCTGCTGCCCGTCGCGTCGCCCGTCTGCCCTGCCTCTGCCCGTCGCGTCGCCCGTGCGGGCTGCCCCAGCCCGCCGCGTTGCCTGTACGCCCTGCCCCTGCCCGTCGCGTTGCCCGTGCGGGCTGCCTCAGCTCGCCGCGTCGCCCGTACGCCCTGCCCTTGCCCGTCGCGTCACCCGTGCAGGCTGCCCTCAGCCCGTCGCGTCGCCCGTTCGCCCTGCCCCTGCCCGTCGCGTCGCCCGTGCGGGCTGCCCCAGCCTGCCGCGTCGCCCGTACGCTCTGCCCCTACCTGTCGCGTCGCCCTGCAGGCCGCGCGCCGCCCTGTGCAGCCCGCGCGCCGCCCCTGGCAGCCTGCGTTCCGCCCTTGCAGCCCGCGTGCCGCCTCTTGCCTGCTCGCGCGCCCTCCCCAGCCCGAGCACCGCCCTACTTGCAGCGCGCCGTCCTGCTCTGGCTGCGCGCCGCACTTTCCTGACCGTGCGCCGCCCCGCCCTACCCTACACACTACCCTAGTGCCTGCTCGCCGCTCTGCCTTCCCTGCGTGCTGCCCTGCTGGTCGCACGCCTCCTTGCTTTGCCCGCTATGACTTCTCTTCGTGGTAGCGGTGGGAGTGGTGGCGGCGGCGGTGGCGGCAGTGGGAGTGGTGGCGGCGGTGGTGGCAGTCGCGGTGGAGTTGTTCAGTCGAGGGTTTCTGGAGGTGGCCAGATGCAGCTGCAGCAGCGTCCGCGCGAGACCCTTACGCCCCAGCAGCTTCGTGACTGGTACGCTCAGCGTGGGGCGTCTCGGAGTAATGGTTGCTGCCCGTATGTCATTCGCACAGGTGATCGGGCTGGTCAGACTTGCGGGACACCTGGCCACACACAGTCCCGCTGCTTCGCCTGTCTGAGCGACGCCTGGCGCGCAGAGTTTGGCGACGAGGCTGAGCTCCCTCGCTGGGTTGAGTGGCTTCGCAACAATGTGGATATATTTGCTCTAGACTATGACGCTATCCTCACTGCCATGTATGCTTTGACTGTTGGTACTGAGGGTGACTGTTACCTGTGTGTGCAGCCCGACCCTGGTATAGAGACTGCTGCTCTAGGTGCTAGTGAGTCTGCTCTCTCTGGTACTGCGCCTGCTGAGGCCTTGCACACCTTCACACTTGACTCAGGTGCTTCTCGCTGTTTCTTTCGCGACAGTACCACAGTCACACCACTCCCTAAACACGTTGCAGTCTCCCTGGCTGACCCCTCTGGGGGCCCGGTTCTTGCACGTTCCTCCACTGTTCTCCCGTGTCCGGCGGTTCCGTCCGGCTCACTGTCAGGTCTCCACCTCCCCTCGTTCTCGACGAACTTGGTGAGCAACGCAGTCCTTCAGGATGCAGGGGTTGATACCTTTACCCCTGGAGGCCAGCGTGTGGCGATCTGCACGTGCTCTCGGACTGGCCGTCACCTGGCCACGTTCACCCGTCGGCCTGGATCGAGTCTGTACACACTGACTACTGCGCTGGCGCGGGTAGCTGCGTCTGCTCAGGTGTCCGCGTCAGGTCAGGTAGCAGCCTCCTGCGAGTGTCGCCTCCTGTCGCACCAGACTCTCCTCTGGCACCACCGCCTTGGTCACCCCTCCCTGCCATGCCTTCGTGGCATGCACTCTCGCCTACTTGTCTCTGGTCTTCCCAGGTCTCTGCCTCCCCTCCCACCCTCGCCTGCCCCGCCCTGCATTCCTTGCGTCAAGGGGCGGCAGCGCGCCGCTCCTCACTCCTCCTCATTTCCCCCGACGACTGCTCCCCTACAGACTCTCCACAGCAGTAGTTCCACCAGGCGGGTCCGCAGCACCAGCAGCAGCTCCCACGTCCGGGTCCTCAGCACCAGCAGCAGCGCCACCCCCAGGGTCCGCAGCACCAGGAGCGCCACTCCGAAGACTGCAGCGCCGTGTGTACCACTCGCGGATCTGCTGAATGGGGGGGAGCTCCTGGGTAGGAGGGGAAGTACCGGGACGAGCTCCAGCAGCACCTCTCCGGAGGCGACAGTACTCGAGGTACCTCTCCTGCAGCTGCTGGGAGGAGAGGGCTCCTCCAGGTGTAGCACGCTCAGGCTCAGCACCCCCAGACGCAGCACCCCCAGACCCAGCACCCCCAGGCTCAGCACCTCCAGGCTCCGCACCTCCAGGCTCCGCACCTCCTGGCTCAGCACCCCCAGGCTCCGCACCCCCAGACTCAGCACTCCCAGGCTCAGCACCCCCAGACGCAGCACCCCCAGGCTCAGCACCCCCAGACGCAGCACCCCCAGGCTCAGCACCCCCAGGCTCAGCACCCCCAGACTCAGCACCCCTAGACGCAGGACGAGAGTCAACAGCTACCTCGACAGGCTCACCCGGGTCTACCTGGGACACACCTGAGGGAGCGGCACCCTGAGGGGGGGAGAGGGTCTGGTAACTCAGCACCTAGAGCGAGGAAGAGAGGCGGGGGGGGGAGCGGGGCAGTGCGGTAGGGGAAGAGGCGGTAGTAGGGGACGGACTCGTCAAAAGTGACGTCCTGAGAGGGCAGGACACGGCGCGAGGTGGGGTGGTAGAACTGCCAACCAGGGGCGTCCGGGACAAAGCCAAGGAAGACGCAGGGGACAGCGCGACGGGAGAGCTTGTCCGCGGACGTGTCGCGGACAAAAGCTCGGGATCCCCAGACCCGAAAACGCGACGCATCGCCAGCCTCTCCCGTCCAACGCAGTGTCGGAGAAGTCTCG